AATGGAAAAGCAACTAGGTAGACATGCTCGCCTGTTCTCAAAAGATGCGACTAACACAGCCGCCATTGATAGCTCTGGAAACGCCTATCTCATCATTTTATGACTGCCCCGCCTACTTCATTAGTACTATATACCATCTTGTTTTGCAACGGACAAGGATTTAAAGATGCACAACAGCACTGTGCACCATGCACAACTAAAAAAGTTGGTTGAAAATATTCTAAATGACTGGTGCAAGGAAAGAATGAAAGATTTGGAGAAGCTCCAACCAGGCCACTCTTCTTATTGGAGAAATAATGTTTAAAATGTTTGCTGCAGCAACTGGGGAATCGATGGTTACAAACAAACCACTCACTTTGCGGCGTGACTGTTGCTACTAGACTATTTCAAGCTGGTGTTGATGAACAATTAATCATGAAAAGAACAGGTCACAGAAGCACGGATGGTGTACGAATTTATAAGCACATTTCAGATCAACAAAATGCCGGAAGACGTTTCCTCAATAATATTATTATTACAAACAAAAACAGCAGTAGCTAGCGACGATATACCAATTCACCTCATCCTCCAAAAGCACAAAACATATCTCTAGATGAAGACAGACACTTCAGCTTTAATAACTGCACAAACATACACATAACAATTCAAAAATAATATTACTATTATTGCTGTCATCATTTTTATTCCTAAAATTTCCCAAACTTTGGCAGAAGTATCTAAATAATTTCCCGGAGGTTTCTAAATATTTTCCCGGGGTATTATAAGTGATTTAGACACCTCATATAATGCAATCTGATTGGTCAATTCAAAACAAGCATGGTAGAATTTTACTTGTTTGTTTTTTATTAATTGACCATTAGGAAGGTGATGGAAAGAAGAAAGATGTTATATTTAGTTGCACACAAGAACAGCTCCAGGTAAGAAGGTGGAGAAGATTAATCAAAGTGTCAATTGCAATATTTTTAGGATTTGGTTGGAAAGTTGAAAGATGCTTCAAAATCACTTGAGAAATTTAGCCAACAATAATTTCTATTATAGTATTTTGTTATGTTTGCATTATCTCTTTGTGGCTGTGTGTGGCTCTTGTGTGTGTGTGCTATTATTGTCTAGTTCCAAGAATTGGATACACTCTTTGATTTAGTACTAAATTCAGTTCTTAGAATTGTTGATAGTAAGAACATTCTATGAATTGGTTTCGGATTGTTGTAGTTCCAAGAATTTGGCCACTTCTTGAGTATCGATAGTTCCATTTCTTGGAATTGTTGACAAGATAATCATAAAAGTATTCATAAATTTTATAAGTTGCTTATAGTGAGTAATATTTCCTCGAATTCAAAGCTCTGCATGTGCTATGAATTTCACTATTGCTCAGTTCTTGAACTCAATAGCTCACACCCTGTTTTATGTGCCAAGATCAAGATGGCTAGTACTGGTAATCCATTGCATGATGCTAAAGGCCACATGATTGGTCTAATCAGAACAGCTTATGACAAAGAAAAGTGAGTGAAGTATTATAATAATAGTCATTTTTTGGTTTAAACTTAAGATCAAATGAAGAAAGATCAAGAAACTTACAAAGGTTTTCTATATAATATTTGACATGTAAGTATTCTTTTGTGTCATTCATATAGTGAAATTGATGAGCTAGAAAAGGAAAGATTGATATTAGAGAAGTATATGCATATATAACTATGCTTAATTTATAATAAGTTTACATATAGAGAGTGTTCAGAGCTGGAAATCAGGAAAAATGAACTTGAGAAGTGATAGACATATATACTTACAGGATAGCTATCATGATCTGTTTTATATAGAAAGTCAAGTGCATCTAGTGAGGCTCGTAAGATGTATGGTGATGTGACATCAGGAGATATAACACATCAAGATGTTGTACTATCCTATCAGAACCATTTTACAGCTGCACATCGTAATCTGCCAAAAATTTTAGATGTACCAACAAAGGAAGCTAAATTTGAAGCGTGGACAGAGGCATCTGAGATTGTGGAGGTGATTAAAGTTTTATAATGTGTAATGCTAATAAAATAATTTTAGCAAAGTTTTGATAAAAACAAAGAAGAGATTGTTTCTGAGATGATAACAAAGCTATGGACAGCATTGACTAACCCTCCTCCTACTGACAAACCATTAGATATTAATACTTCTGATCTCTATAAAGCCTTTACAGTGTATATTAAGAAAAATGAAGATAAAGTATGTTAAGATAACAGTTATATACAAAATGCTGGTTTCGAACATGCAGATAAAACAGGTTATTGCTAAAAATTCCCCTCAAGAGCATAATGAAGCAGCTGCTATGTTTCGTTTTGCAAGAGACATCATTATGCAACTTGACCCTGAAGATTACCATAGTTTCATTTTTGAAGGAATGAAACGTCCCAAACACTATCTACAGGCTACAGCAAGTTCAGCAGCTATATCTAAAGCAAAAGGTATTGTATTTATAGTGATAATTAATTATTGTCTTTTATCTAAATAGCTGAAACTGAAAAGAAGAGTAAATGCCATGCTTGTGGGAAAAAATTTGAGTTAGATAAAGGGTATAGTGATCATAATAGGTTTACTTATTTTGTTATCACTATCACAGAGATAGTCCTACTTATCACTTGGGCTATTATTGGCATCAACGTCACTGCCGCTGTGTTAGTTGTCATAAATTAGTTGATGAAAATTTCGTGTATTATAAGAAAAAGAGTTACTGTAGCCATTGTTTGTGCTGTAAATGTCAGAAACCTATAGTCATTGATGAGGATGTAAGGACATTTAAAACATCACTACACAACTAAGAAAGTTCATTTTATATAGGTTCTTGAGACAGAACAGGGTCAATTTCATAGGAATTGTCTTGTATGTAGTACATGTCATGTGTTTAGAAATGAAATGTTCCAAATTGGAGACAACTATATTTGCAAAAAGTGCTACAATGACAGAAGCAGAAAGAAAAGATAAACTTTTTTAGCTACATACATTTTAAATAGATTGCATGCCGAGTCAAAATATATTTCAGTAGCTTCTTGATATACCTAGTTTTGTAGTCTATAGACTATTATAGTCACAAATGATTTAAACATGATATTTTAATTAAGGCATGATAGTCATTGTCATCAAATTCCTGGAACTGTTCATTGAGCTAACTTTTCCTAGAAATATAATCCATGAATATTATTGATCCATGAATATTATTGATCTGTGTATATTATTGATTTATCCACAGGCATTGTGTAATAATAATTAATAAAAGCTATAGCACTACACTAGTACTGTCTTGAAGTGCCAGTAAACTCTTGATAGCACTAGCTGAGTCAAGATGGATTACGGGTAAGACTTTATGATTCATGTTTGATAATGAAATGTCTCTAAATATGAAGAAAACTCTATAAATATGTTGAGGAAAGTTTTCAAAAGCTTGAAGAAAAGGAAAGGTACTAAATAATCTACCTATTGATCTACTGACTTCATTTCATCAAACAGATTACTTAATGAGAAAATAAAAGACTTAAACAAGTATATAAACTTAATGTCATGCAGGCTTTGATTTTATTATAGAACTATAAAACCTTTGGAAACAAAAAAAGCCTTGTTATCCCAGTTAGTTTATGCATGTGCACAAAGCAAAATCTTACAAAATAATTTATAGACAAGTTGAATTGTTGAAGAGCAAGAAACAACAAATGGAAGAAAGGTATGCATGCATCTTGCAATAACTCTGCTTAGATCTAATTTCAATTACAGGATTAATTTGGAAGATTACATCATTCAAACAGAACTACTACAAACACAGCAGAAATATCAAAAGCATGGTCATGCACAGAGAATAAAGGTTAGAAGTTAACAGTTCACTTAAAACAGTAAACAATGTTTATAGGAGTTCTATGACACTATTATTGGAATAATTTTGTACCAATTAGAAGAAGATTTAAAAGAAAATCTTAAATGCTCATCTACTGAAACAGCAATGGAAGTGGGAGATACAAGAGAAACCTATCGTGTCTATGGCTTGCTTCTAAGTGCTTGTGAATTTAGGAAAAGAAACGGCCCTAAAATTGAAAT